CCCCCCCGCCCCCCCGTCCCCGCCTCGGCTGACGGCAGCGGGCCACTTGACAAGCAGCAAAACAAATCAACCCCGTCCACTTAAGGCTCAGCGTGTTGCTGTCTGTCACCTCCCCCCCCCCATAAGCCCTGAAGGAAACGGCGATCCGCGAGCAGCGAGGCCAAACGCCGCTCCGACCCGGCATCAATCACACAGCCGGGGGAGATGGGAAATTGGCGTGTGCGGCGGTGGCTCGTCGGGGGAGTCGCCACTCAGCCGCCGCCTGCTTTTTACAGGCCAGCGACGCGAAGTCTATTTGAGATGATGAGCGTTACGCGGGAGTCAGGCGGAGGCAAATCTACGCGGCTCATTGGGGGGACATGACTGCGCCTTTCACGGGGCCATCAGGGCGACAAAATAAGGTAAAGGTGAGAGCCCCCCCCCCCTCTCACCTCCTCCTCATCCCCCCCGCCCTAAAGTGCATATTTCATCCCCAGCTGGGTAAATATGTACAAAATAAAAAAGAATCCTGCTCAGAGAAGCCCGGCGGCGCTGAGAGGCAGCAAATGACAAATAGCGAGCGCTAAATGAATGTAAACAGTTTGCGAGGAGGAGGAGGAGGTGAACAGAGGCTCCGTGGATGAACACTCGCTCATCTGAAGCACGGAGGCCCGTGGAAGTGTGAGCGAGGGTAATGAGCCTGCAGAGATGTTCCAGAGTGTCCTCCCTGCAGACCTCTGATCCGAGCAGGAAGAGGGGAAGGAGGAGGTGAGCCTCACCTGCCAAACACAAAGAACACCATGTTCTGTCCGTTTGGATGTCAAAGGCACGACATCATTTACGCCGTCCCGAGATATTTAGAAGAATTGCTGAGCAGCTGCAGCGGGACCACGAGAAGCTCCGGGGCGATTTCATTAAAATGTGGAAACGTGACCGGCAGCTTCCGGGAGGGACTGAAGGTCTCTCTTTGTCTTTCAGTCAATGTCTGTTCAGTCACCGTCTCTCCAGAAAGAGGTTAAACTATTTTAGTGGAGCTTATTGGTCTCCGATGAATTATATATTTATTTTACAAAAGGAAAAAAATATATATTTTGCACCTTCATTGTTTTCAATGAATGCAGGAAATCCATTCATTTGCACTAGTAAATTCCATGAAATCCCAAATAATTTCATGGGACCTATTATTGAACCTTGTGGGACACCGTTTCCTGCTTTTTAGTGCAACTGTTATCCAACAATGCATTCTTTCTCATATCTCACAGCTGGAAACACTCGCACAAGAAAAAGTCCTATGAGCAAACACTGTCCACGTGTGTGTTTTTTGTGTTTGGTAGTATTACGACCCGGTAAACATTGACCCTCTGATTCTCCGCCCCTCCCTCGGGCTCGAGGGTTTCTGGGTTCAGGTCCAGACGTGTCGCTGGTCTCAAGTCTGCCTCGTCTCACTCCTGACACTCCAATGATTTTGTGACCCCGATATGACCTCTGACACCTTTCAGGCGAGCTGTGAGAGTTTTTGAGTGTGGGAAGCCAGGCGTTACCATGGCGACGGCGCTGTGGTCGGTCAGCGAGGCCTCATGTTAATGGGTTTGGACAGCAAAGGCTCATGGGAATGTGGTGATAGCTCCGGGTCTGTGTAAGCGTGCTTGACACGCTTTTATTTTGAAAGAACCAGTATCACCAAATAAAGAATCATAGTACTTATTATTACATATCATTAAGAGTCACTAGTGGTAGTTACTCTTTACTACTCTTTACTTTATAACTGTAATTTTAGTTCAAGTACAATTACCACAAGTACTGTACTGCAGTATGTATATTACTGTCAATAGCAATAGTAGCTACACCCACTGCTCTCAGTACTACTACATTTTTTGTGTACTTTATCTTTTGTCTTCACAGTTTTATATAAACTGATATTTTTACTGATATTCTTCTCATTTACTTTCCCCTTTTCCTATTGTTTTTCATTGCATCTGGTTTAATTTGACTGTATGTAGAAGTATATTTCATACATAAGTGACAGTGTCTTTTATTGGACTGTTAAACCTCCGTTGTGATTATTTGAACGTTATTAATCTTTGTTATTGATCCTTACAGATTAGCGTGCTCTTTTCATAGCGCCTCGGCTCATAAATGTGTAAATATTCACATCTCTGACCCGCTGCTCGCCTCCTCTGATGCTGCAAATCTGCCGTCAAGAAATTAGTTTAACACGTAACCCCCCCCCCTCCCAACCCCACCCACCTCCACCCCCATCTCTTCCTCTCCTCACTTAGTCACCTAATAACAGAGCGCTCTGATCAGCAGGACGCCAACCGACCGTTTGATCACTTCCACGGAGAGAGAGAGAGAAAGAGAGCAGAAAAACCCCAGCGATGAATACATGATTAAATGTATAAAGAATCGCCCTCCCCTCTCACCTCTGAATTATCTCCCTCTCCTCCTTTTCTGATTTACAAAAAAACATCAGACAGCAGGAGAAAAAAAAGAAGAAGAGAGAAAAATCAATACAAATTACGATGGAGAAAGTGGCACTGATGCCTGGAATTGCAGCATATGTTTACACTAAATCAGGCAATCTGTCTTCATATGGGCGGTGTAATGCGTGGGGGTTGGGGGGGGGTTGTGTGAGGGGCGGGGGGGGTCAGGGTTCGCGCTGCCAGCCGCCGCTCTCCAATTACTCTGGCTCTTTGCAGGGAGGCGGGCGCTATCGATTGGCTGGGAGGGAGAGCAGGGCCCTGCAGGCAGCCAATGGGGCGCAGGGGTTAAAGTGCGACGCCATTTTAATAAGAGAAGTAATGGGCTTAATTTCTACCAGGGGGGGTCCAGAGGTTCATTAAAAGCCTCCGTCTTTGTTTCTCCATCTGTGATGTGCTCTTCCTCCCACGACGACATTGACAAACACAAGAGGCCCTCCCTCACCTTCCGCCCCCCCCCCTCCCCGTCCCCGAGTTATAGGCTTTTCTGCATGAGTTCGTTGGTCCGAAACCCAGCAGGGTGCCGAAGCACGTTAACCACGGAGCGTGGGAAGCTCCTACAATGTTATGGATCTAATAATAAGAATAATCATCGTCATTTAGACCAGTGGTCCCCAACCACCGGGCCGCACCACAGAAAGCTTATATATATTTTTTTTCTGAAAAATGTTTTATTTTGAAAATTGACCGTATTTTCTCCTAATTATGTGCGCTCGTCCCTCTGACATTTTCCCCACGCGTCACCAGGCGGTTTTCTTGTCCTTTTACCGTGCACGGCAGTTTCGCCGACCAGCGAACACAGAGCGCACGACTACTACCCCCGACGATCAAAGCACTGTTCCTGCTGCCGTTAGAATAAACATGTTTTCTTTCTACCTAAAGGGTTTTTGGGGCGGTTCACACGTCCTGAGATCATAGCTTAACAATGTTTACCACATCTGTCCCCCTGAGGCTGCACAGCGGACAGATGTGGAACCAGAAGGACAATAAAGTAGAAACATATGATATACCACATAAATGCTAACTATTACTCCATGACAAAGAGTAAAGCATCTCTCTCTCTCTCTCTCTCTTTCTGTGTAAATGTTTTTTTATTCAATTGCAGCATTTCCCATAGTGCCTTTCACTTGTTTTATAAGTTGCGATGTACACGTTGGCGGCGCATTATCCCCATTCATTCTCTGCCCCCCCCCTTCTCTTCGGGGATCCAACAATGGAAATCCTCTTCTTTCATTGGCCTCGGGTCGGCGGGTAATAAATTCGCTCTCCGCTTCCTCTCCCAACATGGGGCGGGGGGCTGCACGTCCCTCAGCGCTCTGTCACCCTTCAGATATCATCACCCCCCCAGTCGCAACCTGAAAAACCCTTTTTCTCTCCTCCCTCCTCCTGCGCTTGAAACGCGCTCCGACAAATTTGATTTAGCTTCCCTCGGCCGGGGAAGAGAAAACAAATATTGTTATAATGGTAATAACATCTATTTGGGAGCGCCGCCCCCCCCCGATGCTTGAAGGAGACCCCTCCCGCGTATATATATATACACACACACAGCCGCCTTATTCTTATTCATGAAAAGCCGTGGTTATGCATATTAGCGTAAACTAGCCATTCGACCGGGCGGCGTGTGGTGTGTCAATCATCCTTACCGGCTACAAGGGCCACGATCACAAAGCCCAGAGCCGCTGACAAATTGTCCCCAAAGTCAAATTTGACAGCCTTTTATGATTAATGGGCTTGATTATGGAGAAGTATCTCCCCGAACTCATTTCCGGGTGTTTCTCTCTCCGACGTACGGGGAGGAGAGGAGGGAGGATTGTTTGTGGAGGTGAATGAGTGGAGGAGAAAAGGAGGAAAGAAAAGGGAAGGTTGGATTGAATTAGTGGTGAAAAGGGACAGATGGAGTGTGAAGTCTCACGCTTAATAAACAGCAGGAAGATAACAGAGAGAGAGGCAGATCAGCTGTCTCTCACTCTCTCTCTCTCACTGTTAATAAGAAGCAACAGAATGAAGATCACCGAGAGGTCGACTTGGAATCAGAGAGGAAAGAAGAGAAAGAAGGAATCTTGGGTCTGGTCATCGTCACTTGTTTAAAGGTTTATTTATTAACCCTCAACATGTTTCATATTAAAGCACAAAGGGCCTCTAAGACCTCACACCGTTATGAGAATATAAATATGTGGAGACAAGAGGACGCAAAAGGCAAAGAAAGGTGAAAATATGAGCGTCCTCCGTGACCTTCGAGGGGATTTAAAAAAATTCTTGGAGACAAACTTGTAAATTTCAGTTTATTTCTTTTTCTTTTTTCATTTTCATTTTTCACCTTCTTTGAACATTTCAAGGGAAAATATATGAATATTGAATTCATTCATTCATTCATGTTTGTGGCTTTAGTCAAAGTAAATAGCAAGAAGTGGGACCATAAGGCGAGTTGGACGAATTAACCAAATTTTCAGAAAGAAATGTCATCTGTGTAACTATGGTGTCGGTTTGTGTTCAGTCGTACTCACCTCTCTCTCTCCCCCCTACTCCCCCTCTCTCACGCAGCCTTGAACGAGCCCACCATAGACTACGGCTTCCAGAGGCTACAGAAGGTCATCCCTCGCCACCCCGGGGATCCCGAGAGGTTACCTAAGGTCAGTGGACACGAGTTGTTAGAGTCACCGCCGCGTGCGCTCATGGTCAGGGCCCCGTTCGCGGCCATACGTTACGTCCCAGGATGCACCTGTCCGGCAGAGCGGCCTGTTCGAGTGTCTCTGGGCCTCCTGAAGGACTCCAAAAGGTGGTGGTGCGGGACCGGGCTGACTGACCGGATTTGCCGGTTCCGCTCGCCACACTCTTGGCATCGCCCGCCCCCCCCCGCCTCGCTGCCAGCGGGCAGATTGGTCCTAAATCCTTAAACAGGAAACAGCTGTTTATGGGGAGCTTAATCCCACCACCCCCCTGCCCCGCCTTCCCCTCCATTCTCTAAATTGGCGAGGATGAAAGTTTTTGGTGGCGGCGAGTGGCTGACGGAGCCGTGAAGGCGGCGTGCGAGCTGAGGAGGGTGGAGGGTCAGGTGGTGCAGGTGGTTAGAGCTGAGAACATACCACCTCCCTATTACCAGAAATAAAAAGGCAATACATTTGATCAATATACCTTGTTGATGGTGGAAATATTAGATAATCCCAAGTCACAAATCTTCACAAATATGTGATGTTGATGAAAAGTTTAATTTAATACAACATTGCACAGAAATGGCTGAAAGGAGTCGAAGTGTCGGAATAAAGAATAGAATGGAAGGTCTATTTGAATCGAAGGTGTGTGAAAGCATTTGAAGCGAGTCGTACAAAGTACCCTGAAGTGTTAAAGTAAATGACCACAACCTCTTAATCTTTCTTTTTTCATGGCACGGTAATCCTTCTGGTTTTGGGCTTTTTCCTGACACTTTTTAGACAATGAAGACTATGAATACATTTCATATTTTGTTTAAGCTATAGACTCACGTAAGTCTGTTAAAACATGTAACGTTTAATCTGAAGCCTGTGCAGATTGAATATTTGATTTCACCTTATTCGTAGTGAAAAGAAATAAAACAGGCTGCCCGGAGCGAAATCACTTAAAAATCTGTTAAACAAAAGTCAGCTGTGTGAAGAGTGAAGAAAAGCAGCCGTGACTCCCAGTTAATGGCCTAAAAAATAGAAAAGCGCACTTTAAGATTTGTGTGGAAAAACATCGGTAGTGAAATGTACCCGCTTTTAATATTTACCCACAGAAAGGCATTAGTATTCACGCACACACACACACTCGCACACACTCGCACGCACACACCTGCCCTGGTTAGCATGAAGAGATTACTCCGGCGGCGCCCGGCGGCGAGGCTAACTGAGGCAGATTCTTGGAGGCGGCAGGCCGGCGGCGAGCGTCAGATGGGCCCTGACACTCCAAAGCAGCCGCCAAATTGAAACCATTTATCAAAATCTGACATTGGAGATCCAGTCACACACCCCCTCCAAAAAAAAAGAAAAAAGCAGTTTATTTGTAAATTGATACTAATGGCGAGCGCGCATTGTCTGGCCCCTTTGATGGCCTGATTTGCAGCCAGAGTGGGACGTCAAGCGCCCTCCAGCCTCTGAGATATTTATTTATTCAGAGGAAAACTCAATAAGACCACAGGGTTGGCTCCCCCCCCTCCCCGTCTCCCGCTTTCAGATGTTTTTTTGGGGGGGGGGGACAAGAGAGAAAATCACGACGACCATGTTTTTGGCGGCGTGTGTGTGTGGCGGGAGGGATCATGTGACCGAGCGAGCGACGGGTTAACTCGGCTTGTCACTTCTCTTTTGCTTTCACCTGCCGCCCGGCCGGCGGAGGATGGGAAGGGATGTTTGGACGGCAAGGTTTTCTGTTTTTTTTTGGACAGGCGGTGCGACACAGAACAGATTGATTTGCCGCAGGGCGTCGGGGTGGTGCATTGTGGGTACAGTGCAGAGTGATTGTTCCCCTAAACGTAAATGGTAAATAAAGAAACCGGGAGAGGAAAAACTCACAGTTGATTTTTGTCTTGAGAGGGAATAAACTCAAAGATTAAGGTTAGCCTAGCTTAGCACAAAGACTGATAGCAGAGGCAAACTGCAAGCCGGGCTCCTCCAAGTCCACCTGACTACCTTAAATCTGAATCTCGTTAACATTGTTCCCTTCAATCTATCAGCCGGCTTTTTTTTACCAGCCCGAGAGGGTTTGCATCTTTTTCTAAAATGAGTTTAGCCTAGCTTAGCACAAAGACTGTAAGCAGGGGGGGACCTTCATTATAGCTCCAACACTACAAACAACTCTAAGTCTGCTTTACTGAAGGCATACTTTGTTAGCTAACAAGCTAATTGCTTTACTTGCGACACACAAACCGTGACAAACAGACAGAGCCGTAGATGCTAACACGCTAACGGCTAGCCGCAGTGAGTCCTCTCCGGCCGGGCGCTGAGGTGTCTGCTTCCAGCCGAGCCAAACTGGAAATGAAATTAGAGCGCTGAACCTGATCCAGGAGGAACCCCCAGAGGTCATCATTGACCAGTTGGCCTCGCAGCCTGTCGAGGTGCCCGCTAACTGTCTGTCTGACAGAAGGAGGTGAGACGCCTCAGATGTGCCTTTACCTTGTTAGAGTCAAGGTTATTTACACAACGGCTAGGACTTTTAGACATGGTCACTTTATTCTGGTTAATTTATAAGGGATGAAGTGGGTGAGTAAATATTAAGAGTTTCTGATGACTTAAATATTTGAAGATCATGAAATGCTCCTTAATTAGTACAATAAAGGTAGTTTAAAATAACTTAATAGGTTCACTTAGCGTTTAGATTATACTCTGGAATACTCCTCGACTTAAAACGTTAATTTCAAGGTATATTTAAAGAGGTTGTATTCAGTCAAAATTAAGATGGTAGATAAAATAAAGATAATGGCTTCACTTATTTTTTAATTAGAGAGGTTATAAATATAAATATTTTTTGTAAATATAAAGAGTGATAGGCTCCACTTTTCTCTCCTTCGACCTGAATTTAATATGCAGATTTTACGTTCTACGTTCTGTGGTGAAAAACAAACAAAACAGAACAAAACAATATCTTAATCAAAGAACACTTAAGTGAAGATTAGACGTTTTTTTGCCCCTTCAGCTCCAATCAGAGACCCCCCCGACAAATTTAGGGTGTTACGTTCCGTCTCAGGGTTTATCAACTCATTTCAGAAAGGAGGAAGATTCTCCCGCTTTCTCGTGGGGTGTATTGAGCGATATGAACTCCACGGGTGAAAGGATATCACCCGTGTGTGTCAGAAATACCTCCCCTCCCCCACCCGGGCTGATCATCGCTAGGTCCGGGCGCTGCTCGGTCCATCCATATTTTATAGCAGTTTCTACAGCCCTGTTCGGGGGTGTTTTATCATTGTTAAGGCCGCTGTCTGATGGCTTCTCCTCCAGGGTCACGCTGATCCCCTTGGGAGCCCCCCCGTAATTAAGCCCCCAGAAACCCATGGAAGACAATAGAGGAGAAATGTGTCAAGAGATGGACCGAGCAAGGTCACGGGGTGAAGCCTGCGAGGGGGGGGGGGGGGAGACTCTTTAAGATGAATTATGAATTGTTTACAGGGTGAGGGGAAGGAGTCGTGTTTAAAGCGTGTTTAGTTCATGTCAGTTTTTAAGGGGGATTTAATGTTTTTCTTCTAATGCCGTCAACCTCCATTTAATCATTTTAATAAAACTAACGTAAATTCACACCTTTTGTTAATTTGACAGTTGAGTCCTATTTTATGTATATTTGTATTGTACAAGAGAAGAGCAGAGGAAAGGAGAAACAGGGGGATGGAAGGAGGAAGGGATTAGGGAGGAGAAGAGGAAGTAAGAAAGCAGAAGGGGAGGTAAAGACAAGTAAAATGAGAGTATAAAACAGGGAGAGTGGTAGAGAAAGGGAAGGAGAGCAGGATGTAAGAGGAGGAGAGGAAGAACGATTGACCTCCTCTTTCTCTTCCCCTATTCTCCTCCTTCTTTCCTTCCTTCTCTTCCCTCTTTTCTTCCTCCACCTCCTACGTCTTCTTACCTCCTCCCTCTTTTCTTCCCTCTTCTTGCTCTTACTGCCTCCTTTCTTTCATCCCTCCTCTCCTCCTATGAGACGATTACAGCCACAGAGGATGAACCGGAGTCTTTTTTCTCTCCACCTGTACGTCCTTCTTCTTCTGCCTTAATTTATGACCTTGATGTGAGATTAAACTGTCATATTTGTGATTATTTATGATTTCTATGGAAACGCTGCTCAAATTTAAAGGGCAGATCCACCACGTTCGGACGTGAATAAAGTTAGAACCGGTGGTTTAACATTGCCTGTGTGTGAGGAGTTGCGTTGAGGCAAATGTAGAGTCAAAATCCTCACATAATTGACTTCATACTTCAATCAATCGATACTGTAGTTCAGATTATATCTTTTAACCTCTGTGAGGTTTTGAACGCAGGTTTTCACAGTGTGGTTTACTTTTACTACACAATACTTCACATCTCAGCCAATCGTCAGCCACGTCCAGGAGGCAGAGGAGAGTATCCAATCAGCTGCCAGCGTCTTGGAGCTGTTTTAGAAGTCCACTTACCCACGCTGACCCGCCGCACCCCGCCTCCGCCCCTCTCCCAAGCCCCCCCAGAACCATCCATCTCCCCACAGCTGAAGGGAAACACCCAGAGACCCTCTACTCCTCCTCCTCCTCACCTCGCATACCCCTCCCACTGCCAAACCCCCCCGTCGGAGGTGTGGGTCAGTGATAAGAGATGATGATGATAACCGGGAGCCAGTGCATTACCGTATCGATCGGGTGAGGCCTTTCAGCGCCGTTAAAGCGCCCGGCGCTCTGATTGCCGGCACTCGCGCTGACAGGAATCCAATGGCGCTGTCTGTGTGTGTCTGTGTGTGTCTGTGTGTGTGTGTGTGTGAAGGGTGTGGCTGAGCAGCTGATGGGGTGTGTGTGTGTGTGGGGGGGGGGGGGGGCAATTAGAGACTGACAGATAGCACCACATCCAGCAGAGGACTGAAACTGGATCTGATGCATAACAAAACACCAAAAAATCAACTTCTCTTTGTTCAGGTGTTTGTTTGGCTTCACTTGTTACTTTACACGTTTAGTCGTTTGTATCTTCTGTAAATCCGCCTCGAGGTTAACCCTCCACTTATAGTGAGGAATAATGAAAAGAAAACACAGACGTTGTACTCTTCTGCCCTTTAACTGTGGTTTTTTTGTCTCGAGAACAATTTTTAAACTTCAAACTTCAACACGTCTTGTTTTGTTTGACCAAAAAACAAAACAACAAAACAAATCCTGGGGGGGGGGGGGGGGGTTGCAATTGAAAAACACTTTTCTGAATCAAAGTGAAATAATTAAATGATTTAATTAGTAAGCATTTTTCTTCTCTCTTGAAGAAGTTTACTCTTAAAGTGTCTCTAAACCGTCTCCTTCACATCATCACACGATGACAAATATGAGTATTATTTAAATCATTTAAATCGTATTGTTTCAGTTAAAGCTGTAAATCGTTTGATGTTTGATTGATTTGTTGTTTCAGCCAATCACGACGAGACAGAAACACCTGCTTCACCGACCGCGTTTGTACAATTCAATACTCGCGTTCGATCGGGACATTGAGGGTGTATTGATTGATTTGGTGCTCTTCTTCTGTGGTGGATTTGAGGGAGTTGTTTTTCTTCGGGGGGGGGGGTTGTGTTGCGTAGTTTGAGTGTATGAGTTACAGATCAGAGAGCGGCAGCCAAGAACAAATGAACACGTGCATATTCACATATGCACACACGCACACACACGCACAACCCAACACACACACTACACACGCACAACGCACGCACACACTGAGGAGCAGCGGCTCTCCAACGGGGAGGCCTCGGAGGCGTCATTAACTTGAGAAGGCTGTTGTGTCTGTCAGGACCTAATGAAAATAGAAGGAGGACACACACAGACACACACAAACACACACATACCATGCACAATGTACACAACAGAGAAAAGCCTTTTGTGTTTCTGCCTTTAGTGTCTGTGAACAGTTTTTTTCAGGTGTGAGTTGCTGATTGTGTGTGTGTGTGTGTGCGTGGGGGTAGATGTTTGTTTGCGTGTGTGTGTGTGTGTGTGTGTGTGTGTGTGTGACGGGCAGCTGCTGCCTCGTGGCGTCTCGCTGCTGCAGCCGAGCGAAGGAGACATTAACTAACTTCTGTTTTCTAATGGAGATTAATGAAGCCAGAGGAGGAACACACAGACACACACAGAAGAAACACAACCAAACACACACACTCACACTCGCACTGGCGGACGTCACCTGCCCGATTTTGGGTTTAGAAAATAAAAGGAGACGACGTCCAATGAAAATGAAGGAAAGAAAAGCAATTAAAGAAAGAAGAGAGTAAGTAAAGAAAGTTGAGATGGGAAAGGACTTAATATAGGAAGGAGTCAATAAGAAAGGAGTTCAGAGGAAAGGTTGTGAGGAAGGCAGGGTGAAGAATGCAAAGGAAGCAAGGCAAGTAGAGGAGGACTAAGGGTGGAAGGAAAGAAAGGACGTTGTAAAATAAATTATAGGAAAGAGATGAATAAAATTAGACAGGGAAGGAGGAAAGGGAAGTTTTAAAAAAGGAGGAAAGGTGAAAGGAAGGAAATTGGAAGGAAGGAAAGGAAAGAGAAAGGAACAATAGAAAAGCGACAAATTATAAAAGCCAAGTAAGAAAGGAGGGATTAAAGGAGAGTAAAGGAAAGGAAGGACACAAAATCAAGATGTAGGAGTAAGGATAGAGAGAAGGAAGGAAACATAATAGGAAGGACGGGAAGCAAATACAAACACTGGGATACGAGGAAAGGAAGTGTGGGAAAGGACATAAGGATGTGCAAACATACAAACACAAAAACATACAGCGTGCATCATAATGTAGACACACACACACACACACACACACACACACACACACACACACACAGACACAGTGTTGGCAGTAGCAGGCTGACAGATTGTTCTACAATAGAGAGGGATGCTCCTGGGGGTTTTGATTGACAGGAGGCCATTCATTCACTGAACATAGGCACTGTAACACACACACACACACACACACACACACACACACACGCAAGCCCAGAGGATGTCATAGAGAGACAAATTCACCTTCTGGATGGTCAAAGTTAAACAAACATATAGATGGAAATCATACTTATTTGGAGTTGTTGTTGACCCCCTCTATTTATGCTAAGCTATGCTAACAGTCCCCCCTGTTTTCAGTCTTGTGTTTTTCATTATTTTATTGTAGTAAAGTGATTTTTTTTACAGTGATTGTATGGTTTTCAGTAATTTATTGCAGTACATTATTCCATCATAGTAAAGTGTTTGTATTTTTCTTAAAGTGCATCAGAGAAGTTTCCTGGAGAAAAGCTGTGTGTTTCCATCTGTGTGTGCTGGAGCGCCTCCTTCGAGGTCATCGCCTGTCGTGGGAAATGAGAGCTCCGTGTTTGTGTGTTGTTGTTGTCAGCAGTGAGTGAGCGCTCCGATTGGCTGGGAGGGAAACAATGTGGTTAATGGCGGCTGTTTCTCTTCTGAGTCACAGGATACGTTTGTTTGGAGGCTTTTGCTCGAGCACAGATTTAAAATAGATGAACCCAAAAGAGAAAAGGAAAAAAAAGGCGAAGCCAGAATAGAATCCGGAGGGGCGATCCTCTTTAATCTCCACCCGTCGAAGCGGCTCACCCTCCGTCTTCAAGGATCAAATCCACAGATGTGACGTGACGGAGCAGCAGGTGATTCGGTCTGACAGCCGGGAGGAAGGAAAAGGTTTCCTTTGAATCTCTAATGTTTAGTTCAAATACTTCCGTAAGAAACGCTACTTCTGGTTCAGTTCGCAGGTTAACGATGGAGTGCTTACTTAGCGCGAGGGTGGTGTTACTCCACCTAAAGATGCTCTGCTAGTTATAGGACACATTTATATCAGCCGGAGACCCATTTATACATTATAAAATCATAATGATAATTGTTATTATGATTTCTTTTGTCTTCATATTATCAATTCAGATCATATTGTTTATTATTTGTTAATACGGTGATGGGATGTTCTCCTCGCTGATGTAATACCTCGGGGAGCTCCAGCAGAGGCCTCCACCTCCCCACTGCTGCTCCTCGGGGACTCAACACCTCCTCCTCCTCCTCCACCTCCTCCTCCTCCAGCCGCCGATCATCCTCAGTGTGATGTGTTCTCACCTGAAGCTGTGAAGAAACACATCCAGTCTCTTACTCTTTATGTCCTCTGGTTCCCTCCTTCTCCTTTCGCTACTGACTTTCTGTCTCCTTTCTATCATCCTTATTATTTTTTCCTTTCCTATCTTACTTTTCTTGCCCACTTCTCCTCCCCTTTTGGACCCTTCACATTGTTTCAACATTGCCATCTCCACGGCTCCCCGCTGTGCTGCCCGCGCTCAGATTTGACACTTCCTCTCCTGTGGGCTGATGGAAAAATAGCTCCGGGGCTTATTTATATGTGCGCGTGTGAATGTGTGTGTGTGTGTGTGTGTGTGTGTGTATGTGTCTTTGTGTGTACGTAATCGCTAGCGGGAAATCCATCATCTCGGTGTTTATCTGCCACTCCGGGTACGAAGCTCTTATCCGTCTGTCTCTCCAAGTCCGTTAGCGGGCATTTTGGATCCGATCGATGACCCCCACCCCCCCTCAGGTGTCACCTACCTGAGGAATGTTGCTTTAAATGAGACTCTCGGTTGCTCTAATTGGTCGGTTCTCCTCTGACAGACCGCTGGGTTGAGTATATAGCTTCTCAAATGTGAATATTAGCCATAGATTACCAATGAACAGGAAGTGACCATATAAGGACTGAGGTTACTGCCAATCTTCTCTTCTTCCTCTAATTAAACCTCCCCCTCTCTCTCGCTCTCTCAGGAGGTGCTGTTGAAGCGAGCAGCTGACCTGGTGGAGGCTCTATACGGGATGCCGCACAACAACCAGGTGAGTCGCTTTCGACCTTTCACCTCCGGTTTGAAAACACACACACAATCTTGTGACCGACCATGACTGGATCTTTTGTCGTTGGGCTTTAATCTCATTTCACTTTTGACGACTTTGGATTATTTTGCTAAAGGCTAAAATACTAGATGCAATGAATAAACTATTGAAATATGACATTAAAATTATTATAGCAGTACACTAAACTTCGTTAGCTCACTAATGTCCTGCCCCCTTGCCCCCTCCCCTAGGAGATCATCCTGAAGCGGGCCGCTGACCTCACTGAGGCGCTCTACTCCGTCCCCCGCAGCCACAACCAGCTGCCCTCCCTCACTGGCTCCGCCCACTCGGGGATGATGGGCGTGAACTCCTTCAGCAGCCAGCTCGCCGTCAACATCTCCGAGGCCTCGCAGGCCGACAAGGTGAGGCCTCGCCACTACCCATGATCCTTTGGGGGGAGCATTCAGAGAGTTTATTAGAGACCAGTAAACTTTGTTAGAGTCTTAAATAGCTCTCAGTGAAGTCCAACCGAACCAAACAGACTTGGAAGTTGGAGTTAAGGAGAGACTAGTTTGTGACCGGGGCTTGTTGGTCCTGGTCTCTGCTGGTCCTGGTGCCTGCTGATCCTGGTCTCACTGGGCCTGGTGCCTGCTGGTCCTGGTCTCTGCTGTGAATGTTTGTTAGGTGGTTGTTCAAGGTCAGGCTCACCACACACACACTCCTCTTGTGAGCTCTCTACAGTGTTCTGATGTTCTTTACTGGAGCTCATGGAAACATCAGGAGACTTTCTAGTAGAAACATTCACTGGTGGTTTGAGTCGCTCTGCTTCTGAAAATGTGCGCCAAACAGCTTGTGAACAGGAAGCGGATAGAGCTGCTTTCACTCCCCGGACACTCCCCCTGGACCCGCCCCCCCCAACACTAAACCATCGTCTGCTTTTCCCATCGGCCCGGCAGCGAACACCTTACAGGAATCTATGAGGTCATGGGAAACCAGGCTGCAGCCGTGCTGAAAATTCATAACTCGGTAGTTTATGTGCATTGAGTTCTCCGGTCGGGAACATTACACCGAGGACCGGACCCCTCTCCTTGTCCCCCCCCCTGATGGTGCGAGGTGTGAAACTGCTCTTTGTGCCCACTCGCAATTATCCCCCGTGATTAAAACATTAATAAAAACGGCGGCTCTCGAGGCCCCGGGTCCTATCGGGCGGACGAGGAGAGTAATTTATGGCGCTAATTCGGAGAGAAGCTCAGGCCTGCTCAGCGTCACGCCTCCACCCGCCCCCCACCCTCACCCCTCCACACCCCACTCCTGCTTTAGTTCCTTCCTCTGGAGTTTGTCTCCGTTCAGCTGGCGAACTGTTGGTAGCACATGCTAATGTAGAGCACAGGTTAGGGTATAAGGAAGAGAGAAAGGGCATTGGGGGGCAGATTGGTGTCCTCTGGGTCGACAATGAACCTCAGGAATGAAGAACTCAAACGTTAGGATCAATGTTCTGTATGATGACGTCAGCACTTAGCCAACGAGCTAACGAACTAACGAGCATCAAGTATGTTTTACGAGAACCTTTCTCTGAAGTACGGCTTGTAATTATGACTCAGTACGTTACAGCTATTTTTAGAACCAAAAATCATCCTCAGAGGAATGTCCTCTTAAATATACAGAATTTCATTCTATAAATAAAGCATCTCTTAATTCAAAGAAAACATCTGAATCTGTAATTGTGACGGTAATGAAATATTTAATTATAAGAATATATTTTAAAGGACACATGTTTGAGTGGTCGGCGTGAGGTCGGAGGACGCGATCCACTTCCCACGCGGGCGGGGAGCGGCAAGGAAACACCGGCGCAAACACTGCCTTTGGCCCGGCCTCCACCCGCCCGGCCCTCCACCCGCCCGGCCCTCCATCCGCCCGGCCCTCCATCCGCCCGGCCTCCACGCTTCTCCTCCTCGAGTTATTGGAACAATCCCGACATTTAGCGCTGACATGTGTTTCCCATTCGCCCCGACAGACGTTCCTGCTGGGAATTGCGTTGGCCCAAACCAGGAAGTGGAGGAGGGGGGGGGGGGGGGGGGGTGGTGGTGGTGGTGGTGGTGGGGGGGGCGTTTGTAATGTTCTACTTGGCACACCGCTGGCTCCGCTGGCCGCGCTTGGGCCCAGAGTCGGTGGGAACTCGGGAGCCTCTTGAGGGGGTCGGAGGTCAGGCCGAGTTCTTGCGGGGGAACATTGGTATTCTATGCATCTCGGATGAGGGTCAATCAACGGGGGGAAGGGAGGGAAGAGAGAGGGGGGGGGGGGGGTTGAGGCTCTACAGCGCAACAGAGAGGTGAGAGATGTCCGAGCGTCCGACGTGATGATGTCCCTGCTGAGGTCACAGCGAGGATGTCGACGAGATTGACGGCAGAAAATAAACACTTTCAGGAGCTGGAGGCTGGAGGTGGGGGGGGGGGCCTCTAATCACACTGTGCATCTTCATCATCGGTGGAGGGTCGTGTTGTGTTTTTCATGTTAAAATCAATGGATGGCGTTTTGTTGAAGGTCTGAAACCTTCTCAAGAAGTCAGGTGATCAGACACCATGGAACTATAAGGGAGGGGGGCTGATTTTGGAAGGGGGGGATTTAGAAAAGTTGTTGCGTTCGAAAATAACTGTCAAAAAGTCAGATTAAAGACACAACAAATGAGAAGGTTGAGTTGATCTTCCGAATGTCTTTACAGACCGTATAGAATCTTTTGTCATTAAGGTGAAAAAAGGAAAAAAGTTCCACTTTATTTCTCTTGTTTTTTTCTTTTCTTTATATTTTCCAATGCATTTACTTCTCTTCCAAACACACGAGCAGAAACTCTGCTACAGCATGAGAACTGGTTTTATTTTTTATATCAAGACGCAGCGCCTCTTTACAGGCGTGAGAAGACTGACGTGTTTGACCCTCACTGACAAACGGCATGTCCCCCCCCCCCTGCAGGTTACTCCCGCAACTCGAACAGCGTGTCCCCCCGCGGCTACGTGCCGAGCTCCACCCCCCAACAGTCCAACTACAACACCATCACCTCCACCATGAACGGATACGGGGCGGGGATGACCAACCTGGGCGTGCCCGGATCCCCCGGCTTCCTCAACGGCTCCACCAACTCTGCTTACGCAAGTGAGTCCGCTCAAATGTTGCATTCATTTAAAGTAGAAACAAATCCAAAACACACTTTTTGTCACCACTTGACGCTCCGTATTAGCTGAAGGCTACTTTTGGTCAAGGAAATGTGTCTCCGTTAAAGCGCTGAAGGAAGTAAAGGGGCAGCTAAAGCAGCTGAAATGTCAGTTAAAGTGGGAGCACCGAAAGGAGTTGAAGTGTCAAAGTGTCGGTTTAAAACGGTTGATGTAAAGCAAAGTTTAGCCGAGGTGTCAGTGGATGTGTTGGATAAAAACATGTGAGGGAGTTGACGTCTCAGTTGAGGCACAATAAGGAGTTGAAGTGCTGGTAAAGCTTTGGTGGATGCGTTTCGGTGACAACTGTCCAAACTTTTACTGAAAGCAGTTCAGTCAATGTCTATTGAAGTTCTGTTGAAATGTAATTGTCGCTCTGTTTATTACAGAAAATGAGTATCAGCTGATATTTAGTCACCAGATAAAATATCTTAATATCGGTCCAGCCCGTCTTCCATCATATTGTTGCTCTATTGATACTTTAGATCAATCTATTGGCACTAGAAGTCGTGGTTGCTTCTTCCTGTCGAGGTCTTGTTGTCACAGAACAAAGAAAGTGAATAAAGGTGAAGCCACTCTGTTTTTTTTCCCGTTGTTCTTCTGAAACTTTTCCTTCTTATGGCGCCCGGAGTTGGGAGGCGCAGGTGTGTTTTTTTCGGAGAGCGGTGGAGTCTAAACTTGCCCGCCGGTGTGTGTGTATAGAGAGGGGGGGCGGGGGGGTGTTTGGCTCGCCTATCAAAGCGCTCGGTTGAGTCTCATCGAGGCTCGTTTAGAAAAAAAAGAAAAGATAGCGAGCTCGATGTTGCCAGGTGATGTTGTCGTCCCCGGCGACCAAAACAAAAGGTTCGCACATCCCGCCTGGCTGAGCTGCAGCTTCCCACTGAGTGTGTGTGTGTGTGTGTGTGTGTGCATCGACTGAACACCGCCACGCATTGTTCACCTCCCTCATGACTCCCCCCCGTCCATCTTCTCCCCCGCCCCTCCTCCTTAACTAACCCCACTAACTATCCTCACCACCTCCCTCATGCTTTCTCGCTTTGGGCCGAATTCATTAATATCAGAAAAACAAGAAGACCGAGCCAACAAAGAGAGGGAATGTTAGGAGTAAGAAGCAGCGATCCAGGACCCCCTGATAGCTTGTTGGCAGGAAGCGATACATTGCATTTACATCCCCCGACTCCCCCGCTCTCCCTCCCTCCCTCCCCCCGTTTCATTTTCCAGTTCCATTCTGTCCTTGAATCATTTACAGACTCACTGTGGTCTGCAAACTCCGTGGAGGTGATTAAAGGAACGGTCCAACTCTTCTCCGTGGAGATGTTCAGACATCGGGCCTTGTGTCCATGTGTGCAGTAGAGAGCAGGAGACACGCGCTGGTTAGCCTAGCTTAGCATAACGACTGGAAGATGTGGGAAACTTATTCAGTAGAAAAAAGTACACCAACCAGAACTTTCTTTTTATCTTTCTGGAAACACGGTAATATATTTAGTAAAACCTTTAATTCAAACTATATTTTAGACAGGTGTTCCGATGTTCGACCCTGCTCACTGTCATGCTAAGCTAGGCTAACCAGGCTGTGACTCTTGCCCTGCAGTGAAAACGCACGGAATGGAGACGGAGATGTTGCATCGTTGCTTTAATTAGAACAAGAAGCCAGTTATAGAATAAATAAAGACTCATAGCCACAAACTTCACAAATGATGGGTTATTATAAAACTAACATTGCCAAAAACACACACACACACACACATGCACACGCACACCTGTACAGTTTGTGTGGATGAAGCTGCTGCTGTTCTCAGGTTAGTTTATTAATTGTCATAAAAAATGTAAAAAGTCCCTTCAAGTTATGGATCAACTTTGCCAGATGTGCAGCTGTTTTTTGTTCGGAGCATGTTTGTCCCTCCAGAAGTTCTCGGCCCCCCCCTCCCCCCCGTTGTCCCTGCTCCTCCTGCATGATTCACCTCCATCCGATCGCTCACCTCCTCTGTCCGTCCGCCTGCCGTCGGGACTCCACCTCCTCCTCGCTCCTCCTTCCTCACCTCCTCCTCTCTCTTCCTCTGCTCCCATAGGCCCTTATTCATTCTCTCCTGTCCATATGGTTTCTGCAGTCAAACAGAAGAGCGCCTTCGCCCCCGTCGTGCGGCCACAGACCTCCCCGCCCCCCACCTGCACCACCACCAATGGCAGCAACCTCCAGGGTGAGCATCCCACCCCCCCCCGCCCCTCCCCCACTCCCGCCTGTCAGCACCCCCTACCTGCCCCCCCCTTCTACCCTCGAGTGTCCACCTGCCCCACCTGGGCAGATGATGACTCTTTGTCTGTGTGGAGAACCCTGGGAGGTCAAAGTTGATCCATAACTTCTGAGAGCTGCGTTTGATCATTGAGTCTAATTATACAACCTGTTTCGGGAGCAATTCTTTAAAAAAAAGGATTAAAATAACTATTTAGGCGGAAACGGATATAAAATATCAGATATGAAAAAGCCATCAAATTAAACACAGAGACGCATTTCATGAAGCTTAGTTTCTTTGTAGCTTCTGTGTAACTTCTGGACTTATTGTGACAATTAAGAAAATTTCAATTTGTGTTGGACCAATTCTAATAAAATTGAATTGTGAGGATTTTCAAACATTTACATTTTTCATAATTCCAGTGTCTTCACGCTGACTTTAGATGTATAAACGTATAATATATTTTAATAGTACTTTTTTTTAGGTTTAGAGGATTTGGGAGGACTGCAGGTAGTCGGTCTCAAAAGTTTTCTGGAACAAGTTCATCATTTTGGGAAAAAGTTCTTAAAATGTTTAATGCGTTTTTACTTAAAAAAACACTGAATATTTTAAGAAATATTCAGTGTTTGTGGGATAATTTGTGATAATTTGCGCTGCTCATTCGCGCTATACGCGCTGGAGAAGGGGAGGGGCTTATCTCCATGGAAACCGTTATCAACGCAGCCAGTTATTTCCACCATTAACGATGAAACCCATTAGCCATTATATGTACTCAGTGGTTGTTGTGGAAGTCTCCGTATCCAAAGAAATTAAACCATGTCTTGTCGGTTCATGACATCATCCTGACATCATCATGACATCATCAAGACATCGTCATGAAATTGTCATGAGGTGTGTTCATTGAATCAAGCATGTCGGCTGGTTTATTGCAGCTGAATGAACCCAAAATAAAAAGATTTATCACAATAAATGGACAACATTCATTTAGAGAAGAAATAGCATCATAATGATGCTAGTTTGTAAATAGTCCAAATTTCTGTTCTGTTAGTTCTGTAAGTAAACAACTTTTAAAATACTCGTACATTGTTGCTTCTACATGAACCCTCAAAATAACCTCATCTAGACGTAGATACATACATTTATACAGCGAGTTTTAGCCCGGTCTCTAATATGACGAATAACGTGTAATTGTGTGGAAAATATGTTTTATTTTTAATACTTACTAAGCTGACTTCATGTTGAGTCAGCTTTCCTGCAATGTTTTTTTTTTTTTACAGAAATTTACATTTGCCACCACATCTAAATTGATTGATTGATTGATTGATTGACATGTATATAGCTGTATTAAGTGTATGGCTATTATTATATACATTTTTTACATTTAAATGTTTATTTGACCTTTTCCAGCAGAGCTTTGAATGTGTGTATTTTATTATTAAGATGTCATGCCAGCAGATTCACCCACACTCCTTTCTGTCGTAATTGATATTTATTCATGTAACTGACTGTGTGTCATCTCTCAGCCATGGCAGGTCTCATCGTGCCCCCCATGTGAGGAGGACTCTCAGCCAGATACTGTCAGACCCCCTCCACCACCACAACCAACACCCCCCTAAACCCCCACCGCCAGCGGCCCCGCCCACCTGAAATACCACCAAAAAAAACAACCCTTCCCATTTCCCATTGAGCCCTCCGCCGACCCAGAATGCACCACTGCAGCAGAAGAATAAGAAGTTTGACTCAAAATTGGACAGCTTCTCAGAAGGAGGTCAAAGGTCAGCTGTGCTGTGAACTGTAGGGGGGAGGCGGGGCAGGTGTCTGCAGTGCAACATGTTGTGTGAGTATTAGTTGTGCTTGACTTCAGAAGTCTGCGGGAACTCAACAGGTCTTCGATCAGTTTGAAGAAGGGGGCGTGTCCACCGGGAGCTTCGATCTCATTGGCTTACACGTCCACCCGGGGTACACGTGATCCGCTCAGAGTTATTTATCACTAATTTATCTCTATATAATATGAAATAACCACACATTGTGAGATTACGCAATAAATAAAACTTACACGCCCACTCTTTTGGTATTCAAATTTTTCGTACGAAAAATGGCTGCCTTTATTATTTTTGCGTTGTCCAGGCTCATTCTGCACATTTTTTAAACGACATCATGCAGCTAAATAAATTAACACACAAAAGGAAATATTTGGTTTTGTATTAAATGGGTTAAAATATGCAAAGCAGGTGTTGTTTAAAAATACAGTTTAATTAATTCTGTCCACAGATTATGTTTTAAACACCAGCTTTAACAATAATTCTTTTGGTAAAGACACCCAGTTCCAATGTGTTTCATTAGTCGCATTAAAGCCAGCCGAGGTCTCCAGAACCTCCGGTCGGTGCTCTTCTTCCTCTGCGGATCAGAAGCTCTCGGTAGACTCGAGTTTGACCAAATCCAATTCAATCTCTTCCATGAAAACTCGAAGAATCGGACTCCTCAAAGATCAGAAGTCACACCCTTCTAGCGTCTCCTGTTGAGTTCCAGAGCGTGTCACTATGTTTCATAATGTCAAGACAGAATTAACAAAGGTCCCGCAGAGAGAAGACAACAGCCCAACTCTTTACTTTCATTTTTTAGAGTCTCTCTTTTATTTCCTTGTTTTGGACGTCTCGTTCTTTTCTTTCATTTTTTTCAATCCAGTACAATAGTTCTGTTTGTCGATGGTAGATTTTAACCAGAAAAAGCTTGCAGCCGTTTTAATCACATTTAAGGTACCAGGTTTTCTTGTTATTCTCCTGATTGTGCTTATTTTATATGTATTTATAAAAGTATGTTTTTGGGGAGTTCCTTTTGTGATTTTAGGCCTGAATGATAGTCTCAAATATATATGTAAACACATTTGATGTCTTAATACCTTTTAGATATTGTAAAGAGAGTGAACAAGTGAGAGGAATCAACCCTTTTGTAAAAACAAAACTGAAAAAAGTCAAGACGTGCTCACCCTGTTTTTTGAAAGCAGGACGGAAAAAAAAAGCTTTCATCACTTTTGTATAAAAACGCTTTTACGATATAATATTTAACTTTTTGTAAACAGCATCATTTGTGTTTCCCCTGGTTCTTCTCGTCCTTTGTGTATTATTGTGAAATGTATAATCATGGTTATTTCTTAATGCACTATTTTTTTCTTTGTTGGGGCACTTACTAAGAGAAGTGCATCTTAGCTTAAAAAAATGAAGGAAAAAAAAAGCTAAAAGTAATACAAAAAAGATCGAAATGCACCGATATGTTTTTCTTTTTTTCTTCCGTTGGGAAACGGCAAAAATCCTCGTCATGTGAAAACTGAATATGTCAGAAGCTTATAGCGTCATAATACTCCTCCACCCTCACGTCTGGACCGCGAACGGAAGACAATTCCGATCTCGATACCAAACCCGAAAACCCCGATCTTTGTATTTGTGTTTTTCGGTGAGAACGACGGTACGATTTTTAAAAAACAGAAAAGAAAAAAAAACAGGCAGCAGATTTTAAAACTGAGAAATCACGTTTTTTTCTTTTTGGTTCCCGATCTGAAGGAGACGTCCGCGGACGTCAGTGTCGTTTACTTATGCAACCGCTAGCTCGCCTTCCGCGTCGCCGTGGAGACGTTTGGAAGAATTAACCACGATGTTCTGCTTCACTTTGTCTGACAAAGGTTCGCTTCTGCAGACGATACCGTGGGTGCTTTTTTAATTTTACGAGTCTCAAGTCAAACTGTGGGAACACTTATATTTTTATTTGTATGTTTTTGCACCAGACGTTCGTCCCTCAGGTTTCCCCCCAAAAACACACAAAGTTCGCGTCATCAGCGCCGACCTGAAAGAGGAAACGCTACGTTAGCGGTTAGCTAGGTTAGCGGTTGCCTTCCGAACAAACCTCCTGGATTGCGTCGGAAACTACTTTAAACATTACATCTACGCCACGTGATTATGACTCAACATCTCAACAACACTAGAGATGACGTTACATTTTCTTTTGTCATTCAAAAGATTTGGTAATAGAATCACACAAATCTTCATTTCATAATAATGGGAAAACAAACATAAATGCATCACTGATTTTATATATATATATATATATATATATATATATATATATATATATATATATATATATATATAATGTGTATATATATATTTAAAGTGGACAAAAATGAGAAAAAAATCATAAAATCAACCAAAAGAAATGTGAATTCCTCAGAATCTCAAACTTTTACAACAAAACTATTAAACGGCTTTGCCATTACGTGAAATTTCCGAGCCAATGTTGCTTCATTTGGAACATCTGTGCGCCATAAGATCCATCACGTGAGTGAAGGAGAATCCCAAGTTTTGGACTTTTGACTTTATGCAAATCCAGACGCTTCGGCCTCTGCACAACATCAGCTGAACATCTGCCCAGTGTCTTTAGGAGAAGCCATTGGTCTCAGCGACACTGAGGGAACGCAGCCGGCCTCCGTCCGCCTCCAACCTCTCCGTCCGCCTCCACCTCTCAAACCGTCTTATTTTATTTTTACTTTGGTCACAGTTTGTAGAAAGTTTTTGCTTCTCACCGTCCTGGTTCTCCCGGCCGAGGTCGTTAAAAACGGCAAAAGTTTTACTTTTACTCGATGTTTTACTTCAATGTGAAAGAGGGCAGAGGTACTGCATCTTTGTGAAATATGAAATATATCATCAAAGTATATCAAAGCACAATGTTTAATTAATGTCTTTAGAGTACAAACAGCTTTCTTTCTTTTCCGTCTCTGGCCATGCTGTAAATAGATGCATGTCTTTTTTTGTTTTTTTTCCTGTGATCCAGTGCTTTTTGTACAGAAACAGTCTAATAAAGATTACATTTGGCTTGAACTCTCGGCTGTCAACAGGCTCTTGTTTTAAAAAGCTTCTTAAGATGAGTTAAACTGAAGAATGCAAAGTAAACTTTGACGTCCGCGTGTATAAACACGTCATTTATTTATTTTTATGTGACATTCTATACTAGGAACCTTTTATGACTTATTTTCAATATTTAGTACTCACTTTATTACTTATTTTTGACATAATGTATACTTTTTTATGATTTTTGTTTAACATAATAATATAATTTCATTTCTTTTCTTAACATGCACACCCTTTTTATGATTTTATTTACATAAGATGTCTGTTCTGTTGAAATTCTTTACAATTAGTAGGGTACAAAAGTTAGGGTCTCTAAAATGATACATATGAAATATATAGAAATCCATAGTGTAGACTTAAAAAGTCATAAATGGGTAATAAAAAGTTATAATCTAATATGTCATGAAAAGTATTATATGGTAAAAAACGTAAAGGGTTTTAGCATTATCGTCATCAAGAAATATTATGTACCAATATATTATTTTGATTCATTCAAGTCATAGAAGGTCAGACGCATTCCACAAAACAGTCGTTAAAGGCCATTGTACAGTGAATCATTCATGGAAGTCATGGAAACTTATGTCTTATGTCTCAATAACTCACAGTAGAGCAAATTATAAAAATATAATTTTAAATTATGCAGTTTCAAAATGAACTCATAATTACTCATTACCAAAAACTCATAAAAGGTTATTGTGTAATACATCATAAAAAGTCCTACCAGGCAATTGAATAGAATGTATAGTATTTAATAGTATAGTATGTCATCGTGACAACTAAAAGTATATAGCATGCCATTAGAAAGTCATGCAATAGCAGGATATTTGAAGTCATGGTAAAAGCATAGCATGTCATAAAAATGTCATGCAAAAATTATAACACAGTGAAAAACAAATTAAGAGCCACAAAACCGTACGTCATGTTTAAAGTGTTCATTTTCATCTGATTGATTCGAGAGGTACAGAAGGGGAGAAGGTCAAAATAATCTGCTGATGTTTAGATTCTAGTAATCATTGAAATATTTCCTAATCTGTCACGGGTGGGGGAGGGAGGGGCGGTGGGGGTCGTAGAGCGAGTGCAGGTGTGTTTGGTTTGGGCGGCGATTGGAATGGGGTTATGATGTCACTGTGCTCTTAAAGAATTAGACCGTTTCCTGTGAGGTGATGATGTCATCGTGATACAACTACAGGCTCACTTTTGGATTTCTCTCTGTGTGTGTGTGTTTAGTTGTGAAGCAGTGTTCAGGGCTGACGGGGAGGCGTAACCCCACATCTGAGCTGAGGAGGACATATAGACCACGTATATGTCTGCGGTTCAGACCTGTCAATCACCCCGTAGCTCCGCCCTAAAGCATCCCCTGCTTTATGGTCTGTTTGACTCTAAATAGACCATCATTTACTGAATGAACATCATGCTGTATTGAGGAAGACTTGGAACTAGAGACTGAGACCATAAAATAATGTTTACAATGTTTACTGAGGACATAAATCAAGAGAGAAGTAGAGTAATTTTCTCATTGAGTTCTACAGGACCAGAGGAGTCGCCCCCTGGTGGTCACCAGAGAAAAAACAGCTTAATGAAACTGCCACATCTGCTTCACTCTGCAGGACCAGAGGGATAAAAAACATGACACCCACATACAGTGCAGGCCATAAATAAGCAACGCACAGATTCATACTTTGCGTGTGTTGCGGTGACCCTGCACCATCACAGAACCACAAGACCCTGAATCATAAATCCAGCCCTTGATGCATAACAGGCCACACACACACACACACACACACACACAGAGGCATGAAACCAGTCTAATAAATACAGAGGCGGGAGCAGACTCCCCTCCCATTAAACACACCATCAGAATCCTTTAACAGTTCCCATGAACAGTGTTCAGTGTGTGCAGGAATATGGAAATCGTTTCCTCCTCCTCCTCCTCCTCCTCCTCCTCCTCCTCCTCCTCAGTGCTCGGGCGAGTAGATTTTGGAGGACAGACTTTGTGCACACAACACCTCCCGGAGAGGCCGAGAACGCGAGGTGCTGGAGTCCACTTTACACCTGCTTCCCTTCTTCATCTGTCTTCGTTCTTCTGGAGGAGGCAGGATGTTTGGCTTGGCCGCGACCTGCACCATGACTTAATCCCTGGGTGCTGTTGTTAACGTTTCTTTAGAGCAAAAAACAAATAATGGAAACCAAATGCGCCCCCCTCCCACCTTCTCCCCATCTCAGGTTTCAGGGGCCTGTGCTTTAACAACGTCACGTTTCCACGGCAAGGCCAAATAACTCACTTATGTTTCCCTTGTAATATTACGCCAAACATGAGATCTTTGCTTTGTCAAATCTGGTGAGTATCAAACCAACTGAATCAATAGGAAAACAGTTTTAATAAGCACTCCCAGGCGAGGGCCGGGGGAACACCTCTCACCTGGAAGCCATTAGGGCCGACAGGAAATGGAGGCAGAGATCGAGTACTTCCCAATAATGCGTCTTCCACCCTGGAGAGATGAAATATGTAGATTCATCATAAAAAGAAGAAAAAACGTATCTGAGAGCTCGCTCTGTTTCGGAGGAGAGAAGATCAGCGGAAGACAGCTGGGCACCTCCGAGATGATATCGCACAAACATCTGCGGCTGCAGATAGCGTTTCATCGCTCATGTCGTAGACTGTCGACACCTTCTCCAGATGGACTCACGCCAGGACGTAATGTTTGGAAAGTTTGGACACGAGGAAAGAATTTGGATATTAAAAGACAGCATTGTAAAGTCTCTCTTCAATGATGGGACTTACTATACCACAACACAAACTACATATTAAGCTAATTTGACTGATAATATGATATACATGATATTATGTAAAATTATGTTTATTTTATAATTTATTAAATCAATACTTGCCTTACTATTGGAAATGTTGATAATGTTATTATATTTTTCTTAAAATATTTATGTCCAGATGTAGCAGTTATTCCTACTTGTCGTTAGTAATTTGTGTAAATGGCTAATAAATATTGACATTAGTTGTATATTCCATGTTGCATGAAGGCTGCACACTATGAAAAAGAAAACCTCAAAAACAACATTTACTTTTCCGCTCGTCTCAGTCACAGTGTCCCGTTCTGAATTCGGAATGAACTCACCCTAACAAAGGTCTTTTTACGCTTGGAACATTCGGCCCGGCGGCGGCGCGGTCGTTCCGAGGCGAAGCGTCTCCGCCTCCATCGACATTCCTCAGGCGGAGCGGTCATCATCGAGTTAATAAATCAATCCGCAGTCTGGGTGGGTGAGCGCTCCATCGCTCCCTCAGCTGCTTGCTCAACCAATGGATTCAGCATGTTCAATGAAGAACTAATACCTTTAATGATCTCAGCAGACGACAACCAAAAAATAGATGTTTCTGTCTTGGATGAAGATGCTCCAGGAGAGTCACAGATTTATGGCCGGGGGCTCTGGACTCCCCCTTTTCCCCCCCTGATGGAAAACACGGCCCGTAAAGTAGACAAAACGGGCCACACACTGACATCACAGGCCCGGTGACGTCTCAGCGGGGCGGCAGGTTGAGTGGCGTCTGGAGGAGCTGCAGAACATGGCGCTCCAGAGGCGGGACGTCGTCTTTTTGAAGATCTTTTGTAAGTAAATGCGAAAAGTAAACGTGGTTTCAGTTCCGCAGAAAGCTGAGAAAGAGAAGTAATACTCGATTTACATTATTTAACCGTACTCATCTAAGGTAATCTATGTGAGGGAGCCAGTCAAAATGCCAGAAAACTGATCAAAAACAAATACATCAAAGTCCTACATTGAAATTTCAAGTTTAAAGAGCTGGACGGACGTTGAAGGAGGAGCCTGCCGACGCCACATTGATGTGCATGTGCATAAATCATGGCCACACGCACACGTGAGGCTCCTCTGCAGCTTCATGCCAACATCGAGGAGCCGGTCGACTACGTGGGCGTCTCCGTGAGGACCTTCTGCTGGTCTCTATTAGGACCTTCTGCTGGTCTCCATTAGGACCTTCTGCTGGTCTCCGTGAGGACCTTCTGCTGGTCTCCGTAAGGACCTGCTAGTCTCCATGAGGACCTTCTGCTGGTCTCCATTAGGACCTTCTGCTGGTCTCCGTGAGGACCTTCTACTCGTCTCCATTAGGACCTTCTGCTGGTCTCCATGAGGACCTTCTGCTCGTCTCCGTAAGGACCTGCTAGTCTCCATGAGGACCTTCTGCTGGTCTCCATGAGGACCTGCTGGTCTCCATTAGGACCTTCCGCTGGTCTCCGTGAGGACCTTCTACTGGTCTCCGTGAGGACCTTCTGCTGGTCTCCGTGAGGACCTTCCACTTGTCTCAATAACTTGTCTGATTTAAGGACCAGCTGAAGTTGCGTCACAGACTTATTGAGGCGGCCGCATCCATTGATGAGATTCAAGCCTCCACACATAAATATTTACCTGCAGTGCGTCGGACTCCATCTGTCCGGCGCTCTTGCCCCCTCCCCCCCTCCTCACACCCTCCTGGGAACCGTGAAGACGTAGCTCCAGATCCGGCGCTGACCAAGACTCTTATTAAAACAATGAAGCTCATAATTATCCTGGAATTCCAAAGCAGTGCTATAGTCGTAATGAGGCCACACAGGAGCCGGCTTATAAAGAATGAATGTAATAAATAAGCCATTAGATGGGCAGTAAAAAAAAAGAGGAGGAGGATATAAAAAAGACAACAACGCTGAAATGAGTTCAGACAGGTCTTGTTGCTTCGTGATAACTTGGAGAAGTTTCTATTTTCAACCTCAAACAGTGTTTGAATCTCATTTTTTTTAAAAGAGTTCTAATAATGTGGAAACCTTTAAATTCTGCAGCATGTTAAAAAAAATCATCATATTCTTCTTTGTTTCCTCAAGTAAGATGAGAAGACTTATACACTGTTCAAATATTAGAAAGGTTGGTTTGAAGCCACTTCAATGTATTTAATAGTGGTTTATCATCCATGC